AAAAAAAAGTTGCAAATAGAGATACCATTTGACCCAGCAATTCCAACACTGCGAATATACCCTAAAGAGACCATAAACGACATCCAAGCAGATATATGCACACCCTTGTTTATCGCAGCTTTGTTCACAATAGCAAGGAGTTGGAAACAACCCAGGTGCCCATCAACAAACGAATGGATAGAGAAGCTGTGGTATATTCACACAATGGAATACTACACTGCATTGAAAAACAAAGAACTCATGAAATATTATTCAAAATTGGTGACCTGGAGGACATTATGTTGAGTGAAATATCTCAGTCACAAAAGGACAAATGTTATATGTTGCCACTGTTGTAGAATGACGCTGACATCAGGGTGGGGTAAGACTGAGAAAAACTGGATAAATTATGTAAACTGCATTGTGACAGATGAGGAAGAGAATAGTTTAAAAGTAATATATTTTAGGGCATTATGATTATCATAAGAGTCCGGAAAGAGGGTTGCAGAGTGGAGTGTACTGGGGGTGGGGGTGGGATTGTGTACCAATGAAGGAGTTTTTCTTTTGCTTTTCAAGGAGAGGAGTGAACCGGGGAGGGGGCGTTGAGTGGGGAGAAAAGTGCAACAATGAAGGAATGAAATTCCAAAATATCTGTAGATGTTAATTGAAATTAATTAAAAAAATATAAATTAAAAAACATTAATTCCATGTATCATGCACAACATTGACACTTTTGGTTTTCATTTCACAGATGAAAGAACTTGGTGTCATCTTCTACAACTGCAGCTGCCTGGTCCTAGATTTACAAAGGATTTTTGCTTTATATAGTTCATTGAAATTCAAGAGTAGAGTACCTCAGACGTGGTCCAAGAGGCTGTATGGAGTCTATGACAACCAAAAGAAATTGCAGCTTCAGTTGAACGAAACCTACTCTCAAGCATTTGTGTCGGTAAGTCACTGCCCACTTCTCTTCCTCCCACTTCCACTCTGGACAAAAAAAAAATAAATACATCCTATAGATTGAGTTCCATGTTATCCCTCATGTGACTTAACTATATGTCTACTTTTTATTCACCAGTCACAGGTTGTTCCTAATGTTAGCAATAATTTTTAAAAAAACCCTTAATAATCATTCCTTCTTTGAGATACTTTATCTGATTTGATTCCTATGAATGTCCCATACAGTAGACACGAGACTTGTGAACAAAAATAGTGAAGATACAAAGTCTCTCAGACAAACACTTAAATCTTTTCACTCTGGATACTGTTTGTTTTGTTTGTTTTTTTTAATGCACTGCATTCATGACTGGCCTGATGAACAACAACATGTTAAATGGGAGAAATAATAATGTCGTCAATGATCTCAGTCTAGTTGGGTCAACCCATCAATGTCCAGGAAAACAGCAGTCAAGAAAGCAATATATTACACAGGGCAAAAATGCTGCCAAGGAATTCTTTGTGTTTTTAAAAAGCAAATTGAGAAGTTGCTTTGATGATAAATTTGACCAAGCCATGGTCTTTGCAACCACCTGGCATACATATAAAAGATGGTGTGTAACAAAAGGCAAAAGAGGATGTACTTGAGTTGTCATGTTTTCAGGATAATAGTAACTGTGCTTTAGACTTCCAGAATTCAGTCTTTGAGGAAATACATCTACGAAGTAATTTGGTCTGAAAAGCAATGTATTCAAATTTTGTAAATAAACTGATTTAATACTTTAAAAAAAATTAAAGAAGTGAAGACTGAGATTGCAGTTCATGTACTTTGCAAATGGAATCAGGGAAGGCCAGTTTCTGGAAAAGATCATCATATTTGGTAAAAAGTAAGTGAAACCTCAATTAGATGGTTGAGACAATAGCTGTAAGGACGAGACAAACGTATCAGTGATCCTGAAGATGGCACAGAATTGGACAGTGTTTTGTTCAGTGTTATGTTAAGAGACATGAGGTAGAGCTGACTCATTAATAACTGAAAATTACAACCCTGATCAGTAGACATTAAAGTATCAGTTATTATGTACCAGTGAGTCAAAACTGGCTCATGGCTGACCCTCCAGGGAGTTTACAGTGTCTGTAATTGCCTAGGAGATTGCCGATTTTTCTCCCATGTAGCAGCTGGTATATTTGAACCACCTGCCTTTGGATTGGCAGTGTAAGTCCTTACCAACTGGGTCACCAGAGCTCTCCGAAAGTATCAGTTAGGGGTACTTAAAGTATCCCGTCTATCTCATGTGGAGCAGCTGGTAGAGTCAAACCATTTGCTTTTGAGTTGGTAGCACAATTTCTTACCCACTAGGCCACCAGAGCATCTTTTTCCTCTTACAGAGTTCTAGCTCTTATCCCAGGATCTGATCCCCTGGATCAGGCCTTGCGGAGTCTTGAAAACAAGATCTTGAATTGATTCTGATGTTCAGAAAATATTTTCTAAATAATGCTCCCAATTTAATACTGCTATTTATCCTTTAATGGATAACAGCACTCTTATGCCAAAGTTTTTGTGTCACTAAAGAGCATTTCACTGAAGGATGAAGTGTATCCTTTTATTGTCTGTGCAAATTTACATTGTTTGTGAAGCATTTTCATCATATACAGCTAAAGAAAAAAAATTTAAACCAAGAGACAGTAACAAGTAATGTCTTCTGTGTTCTTATTGATATTTTATACCATTGAGTTAGAACCAGCCTAAATTCTGTAGGACATTTTATTAACAAAATTATTTCACATACATGATTTTACTTCATCTAAAGACAATTCTAATCCTATAAAATATTAATAAAAAAGGGAGAAATAAGATAATATATTTATTATTTCCAATTATTAGATTATTATTAGGTGTCTTTGAGTATGACTCATAGCAACCCAATAAACACTAGATCTGAATCTTGTCCAGTTCTGTGCCAACCTTAAAATCTCTGACACACTTGAGCCAATCGCTACAGTAACTGAGTCAATCTGCCCGGCTGACGGTCTTGCTCTCCTTCACTGTCCCTCCCCATTTCCAAGCATGATGTGCTTTTCCAAGGAATAGCCTCTCCTAGCAACATGCCCAAAGTATGTGAGATGAAGACTCAGCATCCTCACCTCCGAGAAGCAATTTGGCTTCACCCTCTCTCTAAGACCTATCTGGGAGTCTTTTGAGGGTTGAGTGTTTTTATTTTGTGTTGGGTTGTTTGTTTTTTCAGCGAACAGAAATTTATTGTCGTAGTTTAAGTTAAAAGTCTAAATTCATGGCACTATTCTAGGGGAAGGGTTCCTGCTCTGGGAAAAAGTCTTTTATCTCTTTCTATTCCTAGGTTACTTGGCAATTGGGAGGCAGTCTAGCTGTGCTCTTGCTTAAGCTAGTTTGTTGGGTTTTTTTTTTATAGTCCAAAAGATTTACTTAAGGCACATCTTACCAAAACATTTGTAAATGTTCATTAAAATTAATAAAATTTTTAAAAAGGCACATTTTACCTAATCCTTCATTAATATAACAAAAGAAACCTACTCTGGCAAAGGTATACCACCTATAGCTACAGAGTGTGTTCTGAGTCATAGTGATTGCCCCCGGTTTCTCAGGAGTAGCTGATGGTTTCAAATTGCTCCTTTTTGTTTTAGTAGCTGAGTCACTTTGCCACCAGGGTGCCTATCACAGGTATAGTTAGCTAGGAACATGAGAAAGAATAAAGCAGATAAATGCAAATAAAGTAATGCTCACACATTCTAGAAAGACCTAGAATGAGTCAACTCCACCTGGGAGTGAAGGCTCAGAGTCAAAAAACCTCCTTCATTCATTAACTTATGAAGCACTTCTACATTCATCCCACAAATACTGATTAAACATGTGCTATGTGGTAGTCATGGCATGGTCACAGATGCAGAAGCTACATAATCTAGAAGACACTCTAGAGATAATGAATGGAATGGAACAGAGAAATAAATACAATATAATATACATTAGATTGCAAGTTTCATAAAATCAGGAATCTTGGTTTTCATTACAGATGTACAAGTATCCATATCTGAGCCTGACATGCACTTAGTTTATTTGCTGAACTAATAAAAGTAAGCACAGTGGAGAGGCACAGAAGCTAGCCAGGGAAAAAGCAATTGTCTTATCTGAATCTCAAGGCAGAACCAGGGTGGAAGCTATTGCTGATTTTATCCTGTCTTGTTTATTGGTGCTCCAACAATAATAGCACAAGTGGGTGACTTCAAAGTCCAAAATTTATTTTCTAACACTTCTGGAGGCTAAAATCTAGGTCAGAGTCTTCTCTGTTTCCTTCATTGTTGTCAAGTTGAAACCAACTCATTGCTGACCCTCCAAAAGGAGTCCAGCTGACCCTCCAGAGGCTGTAAGTTGCACAGGAGGAGATTGCCCATCTTTCTCTTGCAAAGCAGCTGGTGGACTCAACAGCCAGAGAGATGATGCCTTTGGATTAACCATGCAACTTCCATGGGCTATACTGTCAGTGTCTCATCTCAGCCAATGCCTGTCTCCTTTTGTACTTTTCTTTCCTCAGTAGATGCTGTTCTTTGTATCACTAAGGAATGCTTAGATAGGACATACATAACCCAAATGTTGTCTCATTAACCTAACAAAGAAACCCTTATTCCAAACAGGGTCACATGCACAGATGTTGGGGTGAAGATTCCAACACATATTTAAGAAAGGACACAATTCAGTCATTACCACTATTTAAGACATGGACACTCATCAAATCAATGATGACCTACCTACCAAGATGGCTTTCTGGACAGGAACACCTGAAGGACTCATGGCCTTCACTCCTACCTTCTTCTTCTTGTTGTTATGTGCCATCAAATCAGCTACAACTCAGAGTGGCCTTATGCACAACAAATCTGAATCCTGCTCTATTCTGAGCCAATCTCACTATCTCTGGCACACCAACCCTCATCACTCCAGTTATTGATTGTATCAATCCATCTCATCCAGGATCTTCCTATGCTGTGCTGTCCCTCAAGCTTTCCAATCATGATATCCTTCTCCAAAGACTTGCCCCTTGCTATTTGCCCAAAATACATAAGTCAGAGTTTCAAAATCCTTGTCCCCAAGGATTTTGTCCAGCTCTCTGATGTATAGCAAGTAATTATGAAGACCATGGCTAGGATCAGGTGTACCTTAGTCTTTACACTGACATCTTGGCACTCTGGAGAGGTCCTTGGCAGCAGATTTCCCTAATGCGATTCATCTTTTGATTGTTCTTACTGCTGATGTTGATTGTGGAACCAAGAAAACTGAAACTATTAATAATCTCAATTTCTTCTCCATCTATCCTGATGCTGCCAATGGGCCCAGCAATTAGCATCTTCATTTTCTTAATTTAAACTTCAAAATGTTACAAACTACAGTCATTGATCCTCTGCAACAGATGCTTAAGGCCCTCCTCAGTTTCAGCAAGGAAGGTTGGGTCATCTGCATAACACAGGTTGTTGATGAGTATTCCTCCAACTCTGATGCCACATTCCTCTTCACAAAATACAGCTTCTCTAATAAATAAAGCTCTTCTGAAAAATAAAAATTATCTGGGAGGCATAGCACTCCCTGGTCTCAAAGCCTACTACACAGCTATAATTAAATTGATCAATAAGTTCTTCTAAAAATCAAGTCCATATGTGGCATCAGATTTTTTTTTCCAATGGAATGAAGAGAAAGCTTACAGGCTTGGAACAAACATTTGACAATGACAGGATTTTACAGAAAAAAACAAAATAGTTTTGTCAAGAACAGGGCCTCCACAAGAAAACTACCAATAACCCGATAACAGAATGGATGAAAGACATGAAGACTCTTTACAAAAGAAGACATTTAGATGCCAATGGACACATGAAGAAATGTTCAAATTCAGAGAGATGCAAAACAAAACCACAGGGAGATATTATCTTATGCTAGTAGCAGTGGCAAAGGTCAACAGGACAGCAAGCAAAAAAAGTAAATGTTGAAGATGATATGGAGAGAATGGGACTCTCATGCACTGCTGGTGGGATTGTACAACCATTCAGGAAGGCAATTTGACATTTCCTCAAAAAGCTGAACAGAGAAATATCATGTAACCCAGTTATTCCACTGCTAAGAATATACCTCAAGGAAATCAAAACTGAGACACACGCATAGATATGTACATGTATATTCATAGCAGTGTTATTCATGATATTGAGACAACAGATAAAGTAGAAATGCCCATCGACAAAGGAATGGATTAAGAAATTGTGGGACATGCACACAATGGAATACTATGCAGCAATAAGGAATAATTTTGTAATCAATTTATAAACTAATTTTGTAAAATATATAAGAGAGTCGAGAGAGAGAGAGCTTATGCTACTGAAATAACTTAGTCTCATAAGGAAAAATATTGCATGAGATTAATTTTGTAAAAATAGAAAGGTAACTGAACAAGATGTGTATAAATGTTCAAATGGAAAAGGGTAAAGATGCAGAAGGGGGGGATCACTAGTATAGCAGTGGTTAGAGATGGATGGGGTAAAGACAGAAAAGATCTAGTGGGGACTTGAAAAGAGAGCGTGATAATAGGCATAGATAAATGGTAATTAATTATGTAAAACATGATGTATGTGAATGATTGTAAAGAACACAATGTACCTGAATGAAACACAATGGAAATGAAAGATTGTATAAAACACTATATACACGCATGAAACAAAATGTGTATGAATGATAGCATGAAAACCGATAAAAATATGAAAACCAAACAAGGAAAGTGCTTCTTTCCTATCCACTATGTTCCTTCTGGCTTGGACGTTCATACAACAGTATATCCTAACAAACCTCTAAGCTGGAGTGGGAAGGATGGGGAGGTGTTCTGGAATGTGACTTGATGAAGAGGGGCCCGCTTTCTCAATTTAGTTTCTGAAACCACTTCATCACTATTTTAATATTAAGCTCTCTTGCATAATCTAAGCTCCTAGATTTGCCATAGTATGCTCTGATGACCTAGTGGGCAAGGAGCTGTGCTGTCAACCTAAAAGGAGGCAGTTTGAATCCACAAGCTGCTCCAAGATGCAAGATGGGCAACCTCCTCCCATGTGATTAATAGCCTCTGAAAACCCACAGGAGGGTCAGCTGTGACTTGGTTCTGACTCAACAGCACATGGCAGAAACTAAAACAGACTTGTCAAAATAAAATAGGAAATTTGCTAAATACCATTTTTCCAACCTGTCCCATGGAAAAATGAGTAAGCCAATATATATTGTTTTCTTTCTATAGTAATTTCTTCTGAAAATACCATGTTTATATGATATGATACCTTAAGTACATGAAAAAAAATACCACAAATACAATCTGTTCCTTTTTTCATTTCACTTAAATCTTTCAAAATGTCCTCTTCCTGGTCTCTCCTAATGAATTTGATTGTCTTAATAACTCAGTCACTTTTCTTTTCCTCTAAAATTATTCATGATCCTTTCTCAACAATCAACAGACTTCTTCCCATCTTAATAAAAGATTTGGTTGGGGAAAACATGATGTTTTAAAAATTTTTACAGATACATTTCACTTCAATTGAGTGACTACTAGGCTGGAATAAATGGCTGTGTGTTTATCAACTCAACTTACTGCCATCGAGTCAGAACCGACTCTTAGATAATGCTGCAGTGGGTTTTCAGAGGCTTTAAATCACATCACAGGAGATTTCCCACCTTTCTCTCACGTAGCAGCTAATATACTTGTACTGACTGCCTTGAGGTTGGCAGTGCAGCTCCTTCCCGCTGTCATCAGAGACCCCTACTATGTGGGTGTATGATTATTATATGGTGACACCTGAGCAAATTGATTGTTACATGTGAAATTGTGCATCAAAATCACAGTTCAGATCTGGAGTGCTCCTCTGAAAAACAGAAGCATGCATATCGAAAGCCAGAATTCACTCCCAACACTGGCTGAAGGGGCAAGCCTGAGACTTTTTGCCAACTCCTTTTTACCTGCCTCACTTTGAGTGCACTAAGCGAAATCTGTGAGAACTGAACTCACAGTTGATTTTTCTGGGTTTACCATGTTTTCTTCTTTGGTCCAGGTGCAGTCTTATGACTTTTTCATCACGTGTTCTAGTGGAAACCATTTTGACTTTCCTTTTCTGATGTTTCCACCTTAGGTAGGTTCCAGTGTTCCCATGTTTTCTTCTTGTGGTCTAATCTGATAAGGAACTAGAAAGTCAATGTACCGAAATTTCACTAAGAGCCCAAATACATTTAAAGAAAAAGAAAAAATCCACAGATGAGAAAACGTTGCTCTCTAAGTTTTGTTTTTGTATTTTCACAGAATTCTCCCAAACTTTTTTGCCCCAAGAACAGAAGCTTTGATGTAGATGCCATCTACAGTGTGATTGACGATGCCAAGAAGTTTGTTTTCATCGCTGTCATGGACTACCTGCCTATCTCCAGCACAAGCTCCCGAAGGTCAGTGCATGCCTAGACCTCCAGGTAGAACCTGGCCTCCAGGCCAAGCCCCGGCCAATGGACCATTAGAGGAATTATCCTGGACACTGAGATTCTACCAGGTGTACATTAGGATGGGACCAACATTCAAATCTTTTGTGTACAGCTGAAGTTTATTCATGGTGCACCTCTTCTCTGAGTGGATCCACTTCAAAGACTCAGAATCCCAACCAATGGGAATGTGTCTTGTCTTGTTATATATTAAGTGAGAACCAACTCATAATTGGTTTTCAGAGACTATGAATTGCCAGGATGAGACTGTTCATCTTTCTTCCTTGGAGCAGCTGGTGGATTCAAACTGTCTACCTTTCAGTTGGCAATGTAACTCCTTCCCCACAAGCTCACTAGAGTTCCTATGGCAAGTCTCATTGTTGTTAGGGGCTATCAAGTTGAATACGACTCACAGTGAACCTATGAACAACATATCTAAAACTTGTCCTATTCTGTGCCATCCTCATAATCTCTGACACACTCAAGACCATTTCTGCAGTCACTGTGTCAATCCACATGGTTGAGGATCTTCCTCGCCTTTACCATCCCTCTACCTTTCCAAGCATGATGTTCCTTTCCAAGGAATAACCACTCCTAGCACATCTAGGAGCTCAAATTAATTATACAAGTGCTTAATATTAACATTTTGACCCAGTTCTTTAAAAAGCTGGAATGACAATGAGGTTTTCCTTCCACCATGTCACATTCCACATGAACCACACACACACACACACACTGTACTGGTGGGAATCCCACCTATTCCAGGTTAGAGGTCTGTGAGGATGCACTGGATGTGCAAGCCTTTGAATTGGCAGTGTAATTCCTTATCACTACTATAGAAACGACTCAGTAGTGTACACATTAGATAAGAAAACACATTTACTGAGAAGACTGGGTTGTTCTCAACTTGAAAAGTAAGCTGCACTGCAATTCCATAGGCACACAATTTGAATCCACCAGCTGCTCCATGGGATGGGGAAACTTCCTCCCAAGCGATTAATCATCTCTGAAAACCTATTAGAGGGCCAATGATGGATCAGTCAAACTCAACAGTACGCAACAACAACAAAGCTGTATAATTGTTTTAATACTCATTTAGATTATATTAGGTGTCATCGAGTCACCTATGACCCATAGTGACCCTATGTACAGCAGCTCTGAAGCCTGCCCTGTCCTGAGCCAGTCTCACTGACTCTAACATACCTACCCGCAGTGTCCCAGTTACTGTATCAATCCATCTCATCTGGGGTCTTCCTCTCCTGCACTGTTGAGCATGATGTCCTTCTTCAAAGACTGGTCCTTTCTGATCACATGCCCAAAGTATGTGAGACAGAGCTTCAAAATCCTTGCCTCCAAGAAGAAACTGGTGTCATCCTCTCTTTACCTAAAGAATATTTGAAATTGAGTGGGACAAGATTCCCTTTTAAAAAGGACATGCTTTGTTCTTTCTTTGAAATTGAAAGGAAGCCAAGTTACCTTGGAATCAATTACAATCACGTTAGCTCTTTGCCTGCCATAGGAGAGCTGGTCTGCACAGGGTCCCAGGGTTTAATTTCTTAGAAGCATGAAACCAGATCTTTCTTGCAAAGTGCCTTTTAGGGAACTTAAACCAACAACCATTCCTTTAACAGCTGAGAATGTTAACTATTTGCCCCACGCAGGGGCTCCTTCAGTTACTGAATGATATTAAATTATTTTACTAGATAACATTAATAAAAAGATAAATTAACAATAAAAAAAATTGGAATTGTTATACGCCAGCAATGTGTCCTATCTCCATACCTTTTCAACCTATATTCAGAATACATCATCTGGGAGGCTGGGCAGAATGAGGGTAAATATGGCATCCGGATTGGAGGAAGATTCATCAACAATCTGCATTATGCAGATAACACAACCCTGCTTGCTGAAACTGAGGAGGACCTGAAGCACTTGCTGGAGAAGGTCAGGGACTGCAGCCTTCAATATGTACTGAGGCTCAATATCAAGAAAACAAAGATTCTCACCTCTGGGCCAATTGGCAGCATCAGGATGGATGGTGAAGAGATTGAGATTGTTAACAGCTTTAGCTTACTTGGCTCCACAATCAACACTCTTAGCACCAGCAGCCAGGAAATTAAAAGACTTATTGCAATGGGAAAGTGTGCTGTTAGAGACCTCTCTGAAGTACTGAGGAGCAGTGGTGTCACTCTGGAGAGTAAGGTGCACCTGATACAGACCATTGTCTTTATAATCACTTACTATGCATCAGAGAGCTGGACAATTACTAGGGAGGATAAAAGGATAATTGATGCCTTTGAGCTGTGGTTTGGAGAAGAGTATTGAATATACCATGGACTGTAAAAAAAGAACAGATAGGTTCATCCGAAAGAGAGTTAAACCAGGTTGCTCCTTGTAAGGCAAGGATTTCTGAAGCTTCTTCTGACATACTTTGGATATGTTGCAAGGAAGAACCAATCATTGGAGAAGTACGTCATGCTTGTGAGGGTGGAGGGAAAGTGCAGGAGAGGAAGACCCTCTATGAGGTGGATTGATTCATCAACTGGGATAAAGGGGGTAGGGGTGTTAGAGACAGTGAGATTGGCACAGGATAAAGCAGGGTTTAAGGCTATTGTACATAGGGTCACTATGAGTTGCAGGTGACTCAATGGCACATAACAACAAC